CATTTCTATGCACCTTGGATCTTGAGCAGTAAATCAGATTATTCTAATCCAACAGTGGCAACACCCTTCCTAATCCAGCAGAATGTCCATAGCACAAACCAGGGGTGCTGGATTATAAAGGGACCATACCACTGTAGTTGAGAGATTCCAGATCTCATAAACATACAGGTAGGTCACTACAGTCTACAGCTAGCCCCTCTTGATTCTTGATAGACTGCTGTGCACATGTTGAACAAGTACAATGATTATGCATGTACATGTATATTGCATACCGTACCGGTACAACAAGACTCATACTGCATCATGCACTCCACTAACTATTCACTCAACGTATCAGGACACACATCAGCAAAATGTGCCAATCGCGACACACCTCCAACGTACACTGAACATATTCTACGACATATAGATGAATTTAAAATCTTGTAGGACGCATCACGCAGCTTCATAAGTAAAAAATTGGTTGTGAGCAACACTGGCTCACACTCAAATCACTGCTTTTCACCAGAAAAATATTTTCATACATAATATAGGTGAAGTTATCTAAAAGGTATGATACCGGTGGTAGTTTGCGACCAGGGAGTCGTAAACACGTCGTAAAATACAGCTCCCTGATTTTTAAGTACAGTCAGACCTCGCTTCACCGCACACATCCGTTTCCCACAAAAATATCCGGATAGGCGAGGGAACCGGATAATCGAACACATGTGCATTACATGTACTGTAGCTGTACGTATGCATGCCATGTGTTGCAAGTTGGTAACCAATGATTTTCTTCCGGATGGCGAGGGATCCGGATAAAAGAGGACCGGATAAGAGAGGTCTGACTGTGAAAGTAAAGTAAAAGTTCACATATAAATACAATTGTGGAGCAGGTAGTGGCCAGAAAACTACGGAATTGCCCTCTTTCTGAGTCACATAGAGATTCTCCCCTGCTCTCTACTGAACGCTGCCGATCACAACACAACGCACCAAGCTAGGTGTTCAGGTGAAGTCTGCCCGGCAAGAAGCCGGTCAGCAAGTGGATTTCTTCAGGGAGAGAGAGAGAGAACAAAATTATCCTTACTATAGATGAGATAAGAAGGGTGCCATGCGTTGGCCAGATTACTGAAGACTACTTAAGGGTCTCAAGTCAAATCAAGATGAAAATCCGCGTTAAAATTTAAATTTTATAATAGCCAATTCCACTCTTGGCGGGGTGCTACAATAAGCAATTAAAATAATCTATTTGACACCAGTAAAAAAAAACATTTAAAAACCTAGTGGGGATATAGAGTACTGGAAGGAGAGTTCTTGGTAAACCAGTTGTCGGCGGCAACGTGGCAATCAGTTAAAAAGGCTGAGTGGGAACAGTTGTGTGCACGAGTCATGCCATCAATCCAAACTTACAGCAACACACAGGCAATATTAGTTAGACCAACAAAGTGACGGAACTAATATTCAAAATTTCGTTAAAAATAGCAACAGTACTTCAAAAGGAAATTTTCGGAATTCTAGCACCTGATTCTCAAGAACAATTGGGGCTGCTGTGTGCCAAGGGAAGAGATATCTTCATTACGGTTGTTTCGTGAGCTTGCATAAGGGCTTGGAGTAGATGGAAATGGGCTGTAAAAGTGCGGGTTACAAGAAAGTCAACATGGAAGCTTATGGTGGTAAAGCTGGGAATAATTTTAAAAATGGCTAGCACAAAAAGGCAAAATCAAACCTGACGCTTTAAAAATATGTATCAACTGCAATCAGCTTCATCGAAATGCATCAGTGTGTACTGAATCTAGGCAGGCAGGACTGTGTCCCTGCAGGAGAGTACAGTGACAGCCGGCCTTTCAACGGATCAGGCCAGCATTTTGGGCAGTGAACTGACCACCGTAATACACAGTACTACCCAGTAGCAGATACCAGAACATTGCCGAACCACACCGTGTGTGCACACACATACACACACACACACACGCGCGCGCACGCACGCATGCACACGTACATACATACGTACGTACACACACACACACACACACACGCACACACACACACACACACACACAAGCACACCAGAATACATACAGAGAGCTCTCTGGCCACAGCATCGTCGGCATCCGATCCAGCAGATAGCACACGCGCGCTGCTGACTCAGCGTCCTGCACGGGACAAATTGACGGTGATAATCTGCTCAAGGCAAGCCATCCAGATCTGCAGACAGCCGCGGTTGGGTGCCTGGAGTTGAAAGGTGCGTGAGCCGCGCACCTCCATGCTGAAGATGTGATGCAGCAGAGTATCTTTCTTCTCCTGCTGGTAGACTTTGGTGATGTCGTACAGCGACACGACGCCAGCTGGCTGCCCACCAGACTGTTGAGTCTACGAGTGCAGTAGAAACACAGACACTGATGTTAGACGAATGCTAACAATGTGCACAACATCGGTAGCATCGTATCAGTGTGTGAAAATACAGCGAAACCAAGAACTCGAAAGGCAAAGGCAAAATACCGACTATTACGTCATGCATTGAAAGCTGAACTCAGGATTGGAGGACCAGCAAGTTCAATGGGTGTACGTCATGTGCAAGCTGTAAAACGTTCCAATAACGTCTTGCATACAGCCTACATGTATTGGAGTAACACCACCCCTTTGTGAATTTCTAGCCAGTAAGGAGCAGAATTTGATCTCACACACACAGCTATTGATGTACTCGTATATGTGCAATATACGTTTAAGCTGGATAGCTGGAATCTTCCGATGTACGGTGCACCAAGCACCGCCTGAAGCAGGGTTCGCCCTCTTGCTTGCTCTCTTGCGCTCCCTTGCCTTCTCTATCGCTCTCTCTCTCTCTCTCTCTCTCTCTCTCTCTCTCTCTCTCTCTCTCTCTCTCTCTCTCTCTCTCTCTCTCTCTCTCTCTCTCTCTCTCTCTCTCTCTCTCTCTCTCTCTCTCTCTCTCTCTGTTTCTTTCTTTCTCTCTTTCTTTCTCTCTTTCTTTCTCTCTTTCTTTCTCTCTTTCTTTCTCTCTTTCTTTCTCTCTCTCTCTCTCTCTCTCTCTCTCTCTCTCTCTCTCTCTCTCTCTCTCTCTCTCTCTCTCTCTCTCTCTCTCTCTCTCTCTCTCTCTCTCTCTCTCTCACACACACACACACACACACACACACACACACACACACACACACACACACACACACACACACACACACACACACACACACATGCACACACGTGTGTCCACAACTAGCAGTCTCACATTTTCATCGTTGAAGTAGGCCAAGTACTGTTTGTTGATGTCCAGTAGGAACCAGCGTTTCTTCCAGCCTTTCCGCAGACCAGCTGAACAGTGATAGACAGACACACAGAACACGTCCACTATCAATGTCCAAGTAACAACAACTATCAAAACATACATCAATGATGAACAGTCACAGACTAACATATTTTCGATTTCGACAGCATGTTACAAAGCGAGGACGCATAGTGCTCCTGACTACAACCACAACCTGGTTGCCTTGTAACATGCTGCCGAAATCGAAAACATGCTAACCCTTTAAGAGCCGCCCCATATGCAAAACGTCAAAAGATCGTAACACAGTCCAATCTCGCTCAAATCCAGTGATCGAAATATCCAGGGCGAAGAGAAAACTCTCACCTGTCGGGAGAAACAATCCGCGAAGCGCTGCGAGCAACGGTTCCTGAGATAAATCACTCGTAAGTTGTGCCGCGATTGCGGCAATTTCAAAAGCGCGCAGTGCGACTTTAGTATTGAGAATTTTGAGACTTTTCGTCACACTGGTTTACTCGAATTTGCACGGGTTTCACTGTTGATATTGTCAAGAGTACATAGCGAAAAAATTGGAACTCCACGATGGAGTAAAATGAAATATCTGGAGCGGGACGCAATTGGACGCATTTGGGGCATTTTTCGTACTGTCGCTGCGATCTAGCGCTGGATAGATGGTGTGCTGGCTATCATGATCGACCTCATTCTCTTCCTCTCGCGGAGACCGTTCCAGGAAGCCCTAGATTGTGAGGATTGAGTGAGTAGAACTGAAGCTATGATCCAAGGAACACGAAAAAATGCAGAATTTTGAAATTTTCCTGTGGCTCTTAACCCCTTTAGCGCGAGCGTCGTACTAGTACGACGCACATGAGTTGCATGCCCCACGGCCGTCGTACTAGTACGACGCGCGCTGTACACTGTACAGTGAACCTGCATCTCATAGTCGTGGGGTCCGTGTTGAGTCCATAGTGACTTGTTCAAACTATCGTAACTCACTCAATACTTGGTCGATTCTCACAATCGAAACATGTATCTGCAAGAGAAAACTCTCAGCTGGCGATAGAAACAATCGCCGAAGCGATGCGACCACCGGTTGTTGAGATATGCGACTCGACACGGCAAATTTCAACTCGATTTATTTGCGCAGTCTGCAGAACGCGCATCTCATAGTCGTGGGGTCCGTGTTGAGTCCATAGTGACTTGTTCAAACTATCGTAACTCACTCAATACTTGGTCGATTCTCACAATCGAAACATGTATCTGCAAGAGAAAACTCTCAGCTGGCGATAGAAACAATCGCCGAAGCGATGCGACCACCGGTTGTTGAGATATGCGACTCGACACGGCAAATTTCAACTCGATTTATTTGCGCAGTCTGCAGAACGCGCATCTCATAGTCGTGGGGTCCGTGTTGAGTCCATAGTGACTTGTTCAAACTATCGTAACTCACTCAATACTTGGTCGATTCTCACAATCGAAACATGTATCTGCAAGAGAAAACTCTCAGCTGGCGATAGAAACAATCGCCGAAGCGATGCGACCACCGGTTGTTGAGATATGCGACTCGACACGGCAAATTTCAACTCGATTTATTTGCGCAGTCTGCAGAACGCGTATTTTCCATCATGGATCACTTGTGCGCTACCTGCTGCCATGGAAACAAGATTCAAATGATGGTAGTGGATCCCGTGAGTCCTCACAAAAAATTTGAGCTCGATACGAGCAAGGAGACCGAAATGGCAGCTGAATATTTGAGCTTGGTTAGTCTTGGCCGTGCTCAAGTCTGTCGAGCGCGTGGATGAAGTTTGCCAGACTGTAGCACGGGGTTTTGGTTTCGCTCCGAGCTAGGTTTGACACCAGTTTGTCACTCGTCTCAAGACCTTTCCAGGAAGCTCAAGATCGTGGAATTCGTCCAAGGGAAGGTAAAGTTCTCGATCCTTGAGCAGCTAGTACTTTCATGGGAAAATGCGACTTTTACAGGTGTTGTCGCGTGGGGCGCGCTCAGGTAGCGTCGTGCTAAAGAGGTTAAAGGGCTAAACTATCAAGCAAGGCTTCTATATATAGTCACAGACTAGCAATCAGCAAGCATCCCGTGGAACACAGAAAGATGGCCAACAGTAACGGGCGGTGGGTGAGGTATCTGTAAACATATGATTAACGATTCCTTGCACGCATACAGTCTGCAGCCAGTATTGGACGCAAGTACAAGCACAGTCCTGCTCAATGAAATCCAGTCGCGTCACTCAAGTCTGCGCCTTGCACCATTTCGCAGCCCAGTGTTTGCAGGTCTATGGCTGCGCAATGCCCCGGCGCGCACTTGAGTGACGCGAGTGGATTTCAGTGAGCAGAACTGTAGAACCCGTGCTAAACTGACCCCTACAAGAAGAGACCACCTGTCTTCAGAGAGCAGACTTCTCAGGCCTCAGACCATGCCTCTACCCACACATTTCAACCTGTGATGAAAGACCACCTGACAGGCTTGATTGAACAAGTCAAGGTATGTACGGAACAGAACAAGAACACACACGCGCTCGTGCGCGTGCACACACACACACGCACGCACATGCACACACACACACACACATACATGCACATGCACATACATGCACACACACACACACACACACACACGCACACACACACACACACACGCACACACACAGACACAGACACATGCACACAGACACACACACACACCTGCACACACACACACCTGCACGCACACGCACACACACACACGCACACACACACACACACACACACACACACACACACACACACACACACACACCAGTATCCACACTTATACAAACAGAAAAAGGGAGCAGAGCACGTACCTCCAATTTTCTCCAGAATTCCGCTGCACGAGTGGCGTTTCACAAAGACATCAGCCTCCGCAAAAAGCCCTGCATTTAGAACACACAGGCGTGCACACAAGTACACACGCACGCCCATGCAAACACACACACACACACACACACACAAACACACACACACACACACACACACACAAAAACATACAAACACACATACAAACACACACACATACAAACACACACACACAAACACAACACACACACACACACACAGACGCTGATCAGGAGAAAGCAAGCAACTCACCAGGACGGCGTACAAGAACCGGCCCTGGACTGGACTCGGCTTGTGCAGCCGACCTCCAGAGCCAGACACGCGAGAATGAAGCTTGGAAACAAACAACACTCAAGACTTCACCCTAGCACATACAGACAGGAACTTAGCATACTTTTTAAAAAAAACAATCGTCGAAGAGACAGCAAAACTAAAATGGCAATGAATAATACAAATTGTGCAGTCATAACAATGTACAAGATTTATCCACGTGCTAATTTCCAAAACGTTTTCGCATGCTGCTCATCAGTGTAAACTTAGCATACCTTTGTCTTTGATGATGGTGACTAGATTAAGGTCGGTGAAATCGTCGCCGCTGTGCAGCAGAGCCGTCATGGACATGGGCCGCAGCAATGGCGGCTTGCCCGGTTCCTCGCCAGAGGTGGCCCTGTCGCGAGGCACCACGGACGACGTCGACAAGGAGGTCTTGACCAGACCGGACACCTCTCCACTGCCGTTCGTCGCTATGGACATTCCTGCCGGGACGGGGGAGGTACGGGTTAAGACGATGCACGGCAAAACACACACGGTCCAAAGAAGAACACGGTGAAATTGTGCAGCGCCTAACGGTGGGGGTGAGGGGATAAGTCTCACAACCACTGGCACAAGTGCCGAAAAACTCATTAGACGCAGGATCCGATGTACTGCTTGAAAACCGAGAATTGCCCCACTGTTATTGTAGACCCCCCCCCCCACGCACGCACGCACGCACACACACACGCGCGCGCGCGCACACACACACACACACACACACACACACACGGCTTGCTGCAATACCTTTACAACACGTAAGGTACTCACCGGATATTGCCCGATGCCGCATGTTATTGGAGTCGCAGCTGCTGAAGCTGTGAAGCGATTGCGACGCCTGAACAAACACGGGTATGGGGCTGCAAACCTCCTCCGGAAACTTCTCTTTCATCCGTTTTGCCAGTGACTACGAGAGAAAAGGAATTCACAGGGCAAAGCGTCAGAATGTCCCGACCCTTTAAGCATGCATGGCATACCACATTAGGTCACGTCAAGAGTCCATAACCCCCCAGAGTGTGCAACTCGTGATCCTTCTCAGCACAAATCAGTGCCGCAACGAAATCCAAACTTCATACGTCATGTAGTGAGTAGCTATGACGAAATGGGAAGTTTGGCCCGGACCTACTTCGCCCGTTTGCCCAATTTGGGGTCTTTCTTTACGAATCCACGGCCAGGTATTGTACGTAACACGCCTGGAAAGGCTCAAGTTCACAAAGAATTATTTTAGAGTTGTCGAGCAGTTTTCTCTTTTGAGTGTCTCTCCGATAAGAGAAGAACAATGGCCACTGTTGAACCTAAAGCAAAGCGCTCCCCATTGTCGCCGGAGTGCAGTGTGCAGTGCCAAAATGGGACTGAGGAGCAGGTTGAAGCACATCTACTTCGAAATCGATCGGGTCTTCATGCCGTGTGCCAAAAGCTATTTCCATCAAATCTTGTAAATCTATATCCATGCCTATTCTTGCTATCCCGGAGTCACGAACTCTCCCAATACAAGCTTTTCAGACAACGAGCAGAGAAACTCTCTTCAAATAAAAAAATTCTGTGACTGTGAAATCAAAGCCGTTCTGCTGACACTGCATAGCCCGTGGAGCAAACGTTTTACGTGACACTTCCGTGGCTTGCTTCAAAGCAACCTTCAACTTGGAACCCCCGCCGGATGTACCAAATATGCACATGGCCCCATCCGCCCATGCTTGCCCGGGGACCGGATGACGCAATGTTTGGATTTCGTTGCGCCAGACCCCAACCTGGAGTTGCACACTCTGGGGGGTTATGGACTCTTGGTCACGTACATTCTAAAGAGATTAGGTGGGGGTATGACAACTTCAGAATCTAGAAAATAGCACGCATGTATCGCAGCTCTCCGTCAGCATGGAAAATAGTGAAACTCCCGCAGAAAATCGGTCTTTATAACCCTTCGTAACCGTATCAATCACTATCAATTGATGGGTGTACGCTGGCAATAAAAAAAGAAGATATTTGCGGTGCTCATCTACCGATTGTCAGAAGTGAAAGGTCTACGCTTCGAGGAAAACCTTGGCTATCACATCCAAATTATCCGAGGTCTCTAAGAGGTATGGCAGTATCATGGTGACCCTTGAAGATCGAGACGAAAAGCATGCTCCTATTAGAAATTTGAAGCTTTTACAGCCAGTTATTTCCCCGGGATCATCCGTCATACAAGTTTCTATGAAGTTAATGTGATGAAGAAAAACGGAATGGCAGCTGTTTGAACTTTCTCCGAAGGATTTTGCATGCGGCTGCCGTTTTGAGCGGCATTCCAGGCCCCTTAGAAGCGGAGGCCGTGCAGGTAGCTGGCTTGAGAGCGCCATTAGTTTCTTCGTCTACGCAAAAACCTTTCCAGCGCTGGCTTGTACGTAAAAATCGGTGAGTAATTGGCAGAGATGCGAGCAAAAGTGAATGACATGATCACATGACCTCCCTAGCAGCAACAGGAGAACAGACAGAGATACACGGTCCAACACACCTTGTACTTGAGGATGAGCTCGACACTTGCTTTAAATGTCTGCTCTTCATGCTCGTTCAGGGTTCTCTGTAGCATAAAAGAGGGTAAAGCCAGATGAAGAAAGACACCTCAAATCGAATTAACATCAGGGAAACTACCATTGAAAATAGGTTCGGCAAAACTGGTCAGTAAAAATTTACTAAAAAATGTGATGTGAACAACTCTCCACATTTTAGGGAGGTTTCGCTCTACGTAATTGCGTATGAAAATCCGTATGTCGTACGCGCCGGGGAGCGAGGGCAACTTTCATACGTAAATCTCTCTACGGATTTCCGTAGGAAAGCTCTTTCCTACGTTGGGTCCTCCGTAGGACTTTTTGAAATATTTTTTCGCATTTTCCGCATTTGTCCATGGCAACATTCAAGTCGCGCGAAACACATGGTACACACACCGTACACCACGTGCATAGTAGAGAGGTTCTGCTACACGGAACTACGTACCAAACTCCGTGTCAACTGCAGTGAAGTTTGACACGGATTTTTCGTACGTTGCACTGGTTCTGCTGTACGTAGCATGCTCGAACCATGCACGAACACCCCGCCACATGTACTCTGTTACTCTGTACGCTCACTTTTCACACGGAGTCCGGTCCGTGTGAAGCGCGCTTCACACGGAAAACGGTATGAAAAAATCCGTATCAAACTAAATCCCGTACCGCGGTGAAGTTTCCATACGTACTTTGGCACGTTTTACCGTGTGGCAGAACCTCACTAATATCATGGAAAACGCGGTTTCGGTTCATGGTGCATACGGTGGGCGCATGCAGCCAACGCGTCTCCAAAGCAACAACGTATGTTTAGAAGCCGTGGAGAAATCACGTAGAGCGAAACCCAGCAGCTCTGATTTTTACGTATGAAAATTCCGTGCAGTTCATACGTTATTTTCATACGTAATTCCGTAGAGCGAAACCTCCCTAATATGAAAATAAAGTGTTGCACCAAATTGTGACACAAGTCAACAACTTGGATGAACAAAAAGAGAGAGAGAGAGAGAGAGAGAGAGAGAGAACGAGAGAGAGAGAGTGAGGGAGAGCGAGCGTGTGTGCGAGTGAGCGAGCGAGTGTGAGAGAGAGAGAGAGAGAGAGAGAGAGAGAGAGAGAGAGAGAGAGAGAGAGAGAGAGAGAGAGAGAGAGAGAGAGAGAGAGAGAGAGAGAGAGAGAGAGAGAGAGAGAGAGAGAGAGAGAGAGAGAGAGAGAGAGAGAGAGAGAGAGAGAGAGAGAGAGAGAGAGAGAGAGAGAGAGAGAGAGGATCCCTAACCTGCAGGAATGGTCTCATGTAGAACTCTGTCCACAGCTTGAGGGAGCCTACATGATACAATGGTACAATCACACTGTGTACGCACAAACAAGCAAACAACAACAAAACACAAACACACACACCAAACAGTACGTCATAAAAAAGGTGACAGAACCATGGAACATCATTTTTTTTTAAAGAACACGTCATACAACCTATCAAACGACACTGCCATTATCGCCACATGGCATACACACACACACACACACACACACACACACACACACACACACACACACACACACACACACACACACACACACACACACACACACACACACATGCACACACACACACATGCACACACACACAAACCGGTGTTTGAAAGGTGGAGAAGCAAAGAAACAACAGAGCAACATACTCTGGAAACATATCCGGCAGGAACATGCCCGAGGTGAATCGCTCCCGCATCGCCTTCTCCGACAAATGAGTCCAGATGGAGACGGTGTTCTTGAGAAAGTCCTCCTGTTGAGCACACACAAACGGACACGATGCAGCATGAAAACACGTGTATCCCACCTTCCACCAATGATCAGCACAGCATTGTGAAATCTGCATGCTAAATGTTCCGGAGCCTGACGATGCCCAATGCAGATTCATCCAAGGGGTAGGACTTTATACATTACAAGTCAGGCAAGTAGTACCGGCGTTGGAGGTGGTCTGCCAGGAGGAGGGCCGGGGTCTTCCCCGGGAAATGTTTTGAAACTAGGGTGCAAAATCCTGCATTCTGGGCACTTTTGGGATTGTGTTACTGAAAAGTGGTCCGGCCAAAGCCGGACCGGCCGGACTGGCTGCTACGCCACTGCAAGTACATGTACAACTGCCTGTCTGTCCTCAACTGGATTGCAATTCGAACCGATATACTTGTACTCAAGCTCGACGGATGAGCGGTGAATTCCCGAAACACTGTGTTTCGAGCAGAGAGTGGTGCTTTCTTGCAGGTTCGCCGAGTGGATGACCCGGCGTTCCCGTGTGCTCCAGACAGTGCTAGTATTCGTGAGTCAGTCAGCCGGCAGGAAGCACAACCCCCAGTGTAAATAGCAGCCGCCGTCTTCTAGTTTAAAACTTACGCCAGTAACACCCATCCACAAACATAGCCATTTCAAGACAGGCACCATACCTCAAAGAAGATGCTGCTTCTGTCGCCCGCACCACTCTGCAGAAATGTGCCGAATCGTCCCGAGTAGGACTCTGATGCCAAGTACTGTCAAGTGAGAGAAGTAAGATAGAAGTAGTGATTGCACCGTCAGCAGTGATAGCGAAGCAAAGTGCAAATACCGGTCACAACAACACAAACCACCAACACACAAACACGCAACTCCCCCCCCCCCCCCCCCCCCCACAACACACACACACACACATGAATCCACGCATGCATGCATACTTCCACAGATGCACACACACACACACACACACACACACACACACACACACACACACACACACACACACACACACACACACACACACACACACACACACACACACACACACACACACACACACACACACACACACACACACACACACACACACACACACACACACACACACACACACACACACACACACACACACACACACACACACACACACACACACACACACACACACACACACACACACACACACACACACACACACACACACACACACACACACACACACACACACACACACACACACACACACACACACACACACACACACACACACACACACACACACACACACACACACACACACACACACACACACACACACACACACACACACACACACACACACACACACACACACACACACACACACACACACACACACACACACACACACACACACACACACACACAGATCATATTCACCCACCCATACACATGCGCACACTAGTCCAGACGGAGTGATTGCAGATGCACCTGTAGCTACGTCACACATCACACTCAAACTACACACGACACTGCGTCTATCTCGCATACAGCTGTGCACACATAGCCCATTATCAGCACTACCTGCAGTCACACTCACCTCCAGTAACGTCGTACTGAACTCAAACGCCATCGGGAACTGCTGAATGATCTACAGAAACAGAGCAGAAATACACACACAGTGCCAACAGCAGCACTATTAGTATGCGCGTGCCGCACCAGTGTATCAACAGATACAGAGAAACCTGTCTAAGACGACCGCTCAAGGAACCTTCAAAATGTGGTCTCTGTTACCAGGTGGTCTGCTTATCCAGGGTCATTTGACTGGAAATAGCATCCCTTTGTCCTGGTTCCAGTGGTCTTCTGGGAGAGGTGGTTGCCTTATCCGAGTGGTCGCCTTGACAGGTTTTACTGCAGTGAAACCTGTCTAAGACGACCGCTCAAGGAACCTTCAAAATGTGGTCTCTGTTACCAGGTGGTCTGCTTATCCAGGGTCATTTGACTGGAAATAGCATCCCTTGGTCCTGGTTTCAGTGGTCTTCTAGGACAGGTGGTCGCCTTACCAGAGTGGTCGCCTTGACAGGTTTGACTGTACACTCAGTATGCCTACAGCACGCACCTAACATATAGGCCAGTCACGTATGTCACGTATAACCCAGAACACTTCCCTGAGTTGATGTCCAGTGAAGTAATAATAATGACGAGAAACTCGTAAGCTCACGCATGTTAAGAGGTTCCGGATCTGAGACTTTCCTGTCTACATCGCCCCAAAATCAGGCAAATAGTTTTCATAGTTTGTTCACTACCCCCCCCCCCCTCCCCCCCCCCCCCCGGCCGTTCAAAGAAGTAAAGTGAAAACTGGACAAGTTGGAAATGACAACACTGACCAGCAAACAGCACCCACGTTACCTGCCACACGCAGTCGAGCCACTGGAGGAATATCGGCGCTTCCGTCTTGGCACTCTGCTCGGGAGCGGGCTTGTGACGCTCGGCAAAGTGATGAGAGAACGACAGCCATTCCTTGCGCACCAACGCCTAAAGAGTACACCGGAGGCCAAGAGACATACCACCGCCTTCACCACTGCACACTTAAAGTACAAACAATCTCAAAATACAATCATGTGCACGCACATAACCCCCTCAGGCTGAGACCATTCACTGTCCAAGGCAAACGAGCACATTGCACGAATACCACGTTGGGTGTACTGAACATTGTCACTAGGCGGAGGGATAATGAATATGTCTGGCATGGTCAATGAACTGGCTCCAAGAGCACCATACGTTCTGCACGTCACGTGGGCCTCCATCAGTGAACTGTCAAACAGACGGAGGTACTGCAAGATGTTTGGGGATTAGCTACTAATGGAGAGGTTGTGTGGCTACGAGATTTCCTACGTGTTTTGCCGGGAGTAGCATTACAAGCACTGATTTGCGAATGCACAGCCGATGATGGCATTGGCATTGCCTCCATGTCCAGACTACACATGCACGCGCACGCATACATACACACATACATGCACCCCCCCCCCCCCCCCCCCCCACCCCCCCCCCCCCACACACACACACATTGCACCCAGTGCATCCGATCGCTGTGCACTTACCAGAAAACCGTCATATGTCCGGTAGTAGGGGTCCAGCAGCACCTGAGCAAGACTGACCACCTGCGTTGTGGCATCCCATCCATCCTCAAATGCCACAAGCACTGATACGTTGTCACCACTGATGGCTTTGACAGCATTGGAGCTGATGCGCAGAAGCAAGCTGACCTGCTGCAGCCAGTGTGTCTCTTCTAACAGCGAGTAATACTTACCCATATCACTGCCGCCATAAAGACAAGTGAAAAAGAAAAGTATGCATACACACACATGTACACATGCGTACGTGCACACACGCGTGCGCACACACACGCATACACACGCGTGCGCACACACATACACACACACACACACACAGGATTGTGGGGAAAGCACTGCCATTGTATACCAGAGCCCCCCTCTTCCCCCCCCCCCTACTCTGATTGAGCCCCAATGTGAAAAAGTGGTGCCCCTCTACTCATTTGTCGATTTTGTGTGTTTTCAGGTCATTCAACAAATACGCTGTGTCGACAATCAGTAACAGACTGAGAGGGTTCATAAAGGCACGCATATCTTGGGTGAAGTCAGGTACATTGCATTTGGCATGGCAAGAAAATTTTGGAAAATGGGTTAAGGGGAACTGTTTCCTCCCCCCCCCCATACTATTTTTAAGTGGTGTGCACGGGTAGTCGGGTACCCGTGCTACCCGTGAGGACCTCGGGTAGTCGGGTACCGAAAAGTACCCGAAAACCCGAGGTCGCAGATGACATCATGTACAGTGCACGTGTACAAATAATTCACGCATGTCTACCCAGTGCGCAAGGGAAGGGGCCGGTGTGCATTGTGGTCTTACCATGGAAACATTACCCGATCGGGTAACCGTGCTACCCGTGGAAAACTACCCGGACCCGATACCCGAAGAAAATGCTACCCGACTCAGCCCTACTATTTTTACCTGGCTAGAACCCTGATATGAATAACCATACTACTAGTCCTGTGTGTTCCTCCATCACGGGTGAGGAAAGGACATCACTCAGCTCCACCTCAAAACACTACCACTAAAGGGTGGTGGTAGTGGTGGGGCGCTCGTACAGCACTTGATAGCATCAACACGCCGAGGTAAAATTTAAGTTTTGCACCAGTTCACTGCCCAAAGGCTGGCAGGTTCACAATATTCTCTGAATATTGTCCTACCATACTAGGAACTGTAAGCCGGGAATTTGACCTCCACGGCTAGCGGCGTCAGCCTTACAGAATGGAACGGGTCAAACACACTCGAACACGGGCATTCTTCCACTTTTTAAAGTCAAAGATTGCACACCCCTGTGTGTCTAGCAGTTGTTGCTCACTTACATGGGACGATGGAGAAACTGGCGCAGCGCCTTGAGGCTCTTGCGCACGGCGTGTATGCTGAACTCGTCGTGGTAAATGAACTTGCAACCCGGGAAGTAGAAACCTGGCGGGGGAACACAGGGACAATGTACAGGGGAAGAGCATAGCATGCTGGTTAGTTAAACCTGGCGGGCGGGGGGGGGGCACAGGGACAGTGTACGGGGACAGTGCATAGCATGCTGGTTAATTAAACCTGGCGCGGGGGGGGGGGGGCGGCAGGAACAGTGAACGGGGGAAGAGCATAGCATGCCAGTAAGTCGCAGCTCAGACCAACAGTAGCATTACCTGTCAAGAGCCCAGCACTCTAGCAGCAACAATCAAATGGGCCAGTACTGGTACATTGCATGCTGAAAAGTAACAGCCGACAAAGCTAAGTGCCAGTGCGATAAACATGCTACTGGACTAAACTGCAGCAGCAGCAGCAGCAGCAGCAGCAGCAGCAGCAGCAGCACCACCACCACCACCACCAACAACAACAACAAACTATGCTCCACTAGTAAATGGTATAGCCAAGACAACATACTCATTTTTGGGTTTGCTGATCCTTTTACGGGTTTCCTGTGAGGTAGCACACAGCAGCAGAATGCAAAAAAATTGTTGTAAGCGACCCTGGTTATGGTGCACGAAGGCAATGGAAAGCACCATGGCGTGTGTGTGTGTGTGTGCGCGCGCGCGCGCGTGTGTGTGTGTGTGTGTGTGCATGTGCGCGTGTGTGTGTGTGCATGTGTGTTTGAACACACAGCCAGCATGCACATCCACACTAAAGCGCAACGGACCAACTTACTTTGTGGACGCTTCCAAGAAGACAAACAGTTTCTCATCACGACCAGTAACCGACTTGTTGAGCGTACAGATGGCACGGAACATTCCTTCCTGTATGGTGGAGCGTGTAGTATGATCACCCCTGGGAGCAACACAAAAAGCAATACGGATTGGAAATGCAAACAACTCGGAACGGCATGTCTCCCCCATCCCGGCATGCTATTGAACACAAGCAGTGCAGTACATGAACACTGAAAGCCATGTAATGTGGGAAGGCACAATCTACTAGTGTGGACATAGACATCCAGTGGAACCAGGGCCGGCGCCGTTACTTCCTTAGTGCCTACACGCACTCCAATAGACACTGTAGCAGTGCTCACAACTGCACGGCCAGCGCCCCGCAGCCGCTTGACTTCTCAACGGATTTCAATGCCCACAACAGTACCAGAACCCACTAAATAACATGTCAATGCACATGCTCTTGGTTTAGTTTTTGGCCTTTTCTGTGCTTTGGAGTTACTTGTTGTTTTGGAGAGTTGCGTCCTCTAAATCGAATTGGTTTTGCAAAAAAACAAACAACTCGCAGCCTATGCTGCTGCCCTGGTCTCGACTTACATTGGATTGACGGGGGCTGCTGCACGGAGCAGCGCCGCACCGTTGGGTCCCAACCAGGACACGACGGGAAAGCGACCATGCCTGCAGCAGCAGCAGCAGCAGCACAAACGTAGATGGCAACGGAGACAGCAATACAAGCACAGGTCCTTTTCAGAAAAAGCTAAAATGACATTCAAGGTGAAGTAGGCGACACATCACGGTACACGGCATGCACACACTATAAAAGAGCAAGGGCCCAACACAGCTGCAACAAAGTCAGCAAAACCTAAACTCACGAACACACCAACACCGCAATCAACTGCACATGCAGGCACATGTACAGGTACATAATCCAGTAGTCAATAAGGAGACACATGTTGCCTGAATCTCTAGCTATTAAAAAGGGAGGAAAACTAGATTCCAACGCACCAGCAACAATTGGGACAAATTGGCAAGAAGCAAAAGCAAAAGGTTCAACATGAGGAGCTAACCTGTTCAGCACGAAGGTCGTAATAATACATCATTCAGAATGACACTACACCACGGAGGACGCAGTATTACGTCCTGAGTGTACATTGCGCACATACGCGATTTGCCTGGACCGCGTGAGTTCAAAAGCCGACTTCAAAAGCCGACGACTTTATTCATTCCTTCATTCATTCATTCTCAATCACGTGGCACTAGCCAATGAAAAGGTGATGTGGACGATAGGCAGCCATGCGACAATAAAGGGGAGAAAGAATAATGAAAGGGTAACTGAAAGGCTTACTGGTGACTAGGAGCAAGGCGAGCCAAGTCGACGTCCGGTGTGAAGACAGGTACAATGACCTTACAGTGGTAGGTCGGGCAGATCGACTGTGCATCAGCTACAGGGAGAAATCAGAAGAGGAAAACAGTTTCCTCCCGCACGGCGCGGTAGTACAACAAGGGCACCGACGCGGTAGTGGCTAGCGAAACACCCCTACCACCTTGAAGTGCTCCACTATACCAGGCGCGTGCTTCCTAACATCCTCTACAGCTCTCCACGTTAACTTCCCCATTCTCACAGCAGCCCGGACATACACCGGCTGATTGGACCCATTGCGCAATGACGTAATTCGTACCATACAACACCCTTCACAGCCAACTGGGCATGGTCGTCTGGGGTGTTGAACAGTGCATTCCTGATCCCAGCGTACTCACAAGCATTACTCATACATTCTATATTTGGCAATGCACAATGGGTCTTTTGCACTGGACATGCGTTGTACCCGCACGGTCACCAACCAGCCCGTCTTCACACCCTGCACCCACACCGCCCCCCCCCCCCCCCCCCCCCCCCTCGACAGTAGTCTCAGACAGATCCCCGGGTTGGAATGTGCACAGTACCAACTCTGCTCTCTCACGAACAACATACTTCAATCTATAGGATATAATTAAATATCTATGATAATATAAAGTGCTGTCTTGACCACCTGTTTGTAACACATGTGCCACCGAACCTCGCCATGTGACTTTTTAAACGCCACAAACACACAAGACTGGTATCGAGCAACACGTGTAGACCGACAGAAGAAAATATATTCAATACAGAATTGGCTCTTACATAGCCTCCAGACTGCATCCTTGGTGATGAGTAGGCGATCCGCTTCAGCTGAGGTAGTACGTTCACAACACAAAACAAAAGGAGAGGCAATGAATAAGACCCTCCACTGAAAAAGCAGTCAAAATATACGAAAATAAAGTTCTATGACAGGAAGAAAAGTTATCTACGTGGAGTACGTAGATAGGGCTCTGATAACGTACGTAGGTGCTCCGTAAGTGGATTGGGGTAAAATTTATGGCTCTCTCCCCAGGTCGATCCGGTCTTACACTGCCGCGTTAGGAGTTGCCAAGGGCAGCTACGTGATTCGAAACTCCGTATGGCTGAACACAGATCCGCATGCAGTTCACGTAAGGCTTTCCGTAGATCGACTTTTACTAATGTAATTATGTTCTGTGGAACCTCTCTAATGTCCATGTAACCTGGCCTTTGGGCGGTCACAGTCACTGCAGCAGTACATGTACTGCAGCATTGACCAGTAAACACACACACACACGCGCACACACGCACACACACACACACACACACACACACACACACACGAAGACGGCAGCACGCATCCGCCATAATTGCGCAATGCACACAGCCCTGCACCTGAAGATAACCCATCGTCCAGGGCAGTAGCATACACACCATATTTTCCGGAGCATAAGCCGCACCCAGATTTTTTGTCACGAAATACAGACATCTACCCTATTTATAAGCGTTAGTTAGATCATCGTAGTAAAAGCCGCACTGACTTTTTGTGGGTGAATCACTGAAGCTATAAAGTGCGGCGTATACTCCGGAGAATACGGTAGACTTGTACAAGTGCCTACAGGCTCAACTTTTGTTAGGCGGTGTTTACATGAGGCGTTTCAACCCGGGTTGAGTTCGACCCGGGTCAGATTTCAACCCGCCATGTGCACAAAGTGAATGGCGCGTTTACATGACGCATTGCGCTTGACCCGGGTTGAAATTTCGCCCCGGGTTGATTTCAACCCTCCCCCCAAGGGGAGGGTTGAAATCAACCCGGGTCAAGAAAATTGTACAAACGTACTCCTGTGCGTATCTCGCGCCAGGTTTGAACGGCACTGCAGATGCAAATTTCGCGCGAACGGATTCACGTGACCATACAAGACTGTAGAAGTGGACTTTTGGCGGCATATCAGTATTTGACCCGGGTCAACTGTCTTCATGTAAACGCTCACCTCTTTTGTCTATCGTACAGACTTTCAACCCGGGCTGAACTCGACCCGGGTTGAAATTTCTCATGTAAACACAGCCTTAGAATCGAGGAGCAAGGGGGGTAAGACCAACTGCTTTTGTGCTTTTTTTTCTAACACAAAAACATTAGGAGAGCTGCACTCCGCAGCACTTGCATGTGTGCAGGATGACACATCCGAGACATTTCCCCTACGCTAGCCACCTACAGACCTTCAAACATGTTTCACCCAATAGGCCAAAGCAGCATTACCAGTCATATCGAAGATGTCTTCAGTCGGATTGGGTAGGTCTAATTCTTCGTCGAAGACGCCACCATTGTCATCTCCCTCCGTTGTTGATGAGCATAGGAGGTCACAGTCTGTGATGGCCCGCTGCTTTCCTTCCGCGTGAGGTCGCGATGCTTCCAACCATTCTCTCTGTGATTCACGCATTGCCTGGCAAAATATTTGTGCAAAGTGATGGGCGCTATTTGCCTGAGAGAGGGGGGAGAGAGAGAGAGAGAGAGAGAGAGAGAGAGAGAGAGAGAGAGAGAGAGAGAGAGAGAGAGAGAGAGAGAGAGAGAGAGAGAGAGAGAGAGAGAGAGAGAGAGAGAGAGAGAGAGAGAGAGAGAGAGAGAGAGAGAGAGACACACACACACACACACACACACACACACACACACACACACACACACACACACATAGATACAATCATTAGTCACAAGAGTTGGACAGCATGGCTGTTATGTTTGAATCCATAGTCTGTCTGTACATGATCTGTACGCCATACGCTGCTCTGTGTGTACTGCACATTATACATGCATGCCTTGCACACTGTTGTCAACTGCTTTGCCATGTGTACGTTATGCGTAGTGTTTGAAGTAGAGCGCGTAGTCTACTCTGTCAGCTATGTCAGTTATTCGTTTCCTGATTTCGAATAGTTCCTTGCTTGTCGTTCTGAAGTATAGTAATATGGTGTGCTCTTGCTCACGTAGTTCTCTGTCGATCATATTCTGGCGAATATAACAATGGCAAACATAACTGTCGGAAAATACCGAGAGAGCAGATACAATACAAATGACCCATTATTATAAGAGCACAACAACATTTCAAACAGTCCTTGCCAGCACACTGCACTGTAAGAAGCGGACAACAGACGCAGAAACACCATGATACTATTGGGCAGCATACTAACCATTCGATTGCGTAAATTCTTTACTAGCGACTGGATGGAGAGGACGATTTGCAGCGAAACAGTGCATAGCTAAACAGCAAACAGAAAACAAATGCCCAGAAAAGCTCGTTCACAGAAGCAAGCTTTACCCTGGCCCTACTCAAACAGACATTGGGTTTGCTCAACAGAAATAACGCGCAGCCCACCAGTAGTGGCTGTGCTCAACAGCCCCATCTAGCCTTGTCACAATGTGTCAATAATTTAGCACCTTTCTCCGGTGCGCGGACCAGCATTGGCAAAGCTACAGCTGCACAAAAACCGCCACAAACTTAGCAAACCTCTCACTTTGACACAACAACCAGGGTTGTTCTTTCCGTTTTCAAGGTTTTCCAAGACTGTTTTTCCAAACTCCAAGGATTTTTAAGGGCGTTGAAGAAGAGAGAAGAAAATGCAAGCACTTCCAATGCTTTCAAGGCCCTGTGTGAACCATGGATCCACCTCATGATCTCAGATGGCATTGATCAGGCCTGGACATTCTGATTATCATAGTCATATCGAAAAAGAGCGGAAGGACTCACTCAGCGAAGATCACACACTCACCTTATAGACTTGCACGGTTTGCATGATGACTTCGAGGCATTCCATCGACAGCTTCATGGATTGGCGCGTGCGTGGAGCGTGGCGTACAGACTGAGGTGGCCTGTGCGTCAGCTTCACAATGGCCTGGATCGGCATGGAGACGCGGACGTCGTGATCCGCCGGCACTTCCATGTTGATAGCTAACACACGCAATGCAGGAACACACGCACCACAAACACACGCACCACGAACACACACACACACACACACACATGCACGCACGCACACGCACACGCGCACACACACACACACTACTACTACTACTACTACTACTACTACTACTACTACTACTACTACTACTACTACTACTACTACTACTACTACTACTACTACTACTACTACTACTACTACTACTACTACTACTACTACTACTACTACTACTACTACTACTACTACTACTACTACTACTACTATGTACAGCTACCCTATCGGGCCACGCCGCTCCCAGAAGCGGGAGACAACGACAAGACACACACACACACACACTCACACACACACACATGCAATGCCGTACCTTCCGGAGTATAAGCGCCGCACAGATTTTTTCCAAAATACAGACAGCTACACTGGTTATTTCCGTTAATTTTATCATCGTAGTCTAAGCCGCACTGCCTTTTTTTGCTCCTGTGTGGGGCTCCAAGGTGAACTGAGTACGCATTGACTGGACTGTGTGCAGCGTGCGCACAATATTGGAGGGGCACTCTCGCTGTACTTTACGGTATAATCTAAACTAGCACTTGCGTTGTAAGTTACAATGCACGAGTACAAAACCAATCGACTAACCAGACGATTTGCTGGGCAGCTCAACGAAGAATTGGCTGTTCTTTCGATGCATCAGGACGACCGCTTCGATGGTTTCCGAAGAGACAACGCTCTGGCTGCGTCGCAGAACCCGTCGCCGTGCGGTCTCGTCCGTCACCTCCGACGCACTCCACATCAGCTTTGAGGACGCCACTTGTTCCAGAGGCCTGGCGAGCGAGGGGTCGTTGGCGGGAGCGGTGGCGTTGCGCACGCGGCTAATAAATGACGGACTGCTCACATCTGTAGTGGCGTTGCCGTCGCTGCTGTCCCTGACATTGCCAGCAGTGGCGGCAGCAACGCCAGTTTCGGCGTCGAGACTGGCTGTACCCTGTGCCGTGGACATATCGGCCACGGGATGGTCACGCTGCAACACGGCGCCGCCGGGCAAGTTCCCCTCTTCCGGTATACCGCCCATGCCACTGCCGGGACTGCCCGGGCCGGCATTGCTAGAGTGCGAGCTGCTACGCAGCGACGCCGTCGTGGTGCCCAGCACTTCGCCGTCGCCGTCGACCATTTCAAAATCGGACATGGCGCGCGAGCGCGTGTCCACAATGACCGACGGGCCGGAGGTGCGCCGCTTCACGTCGTCGGCGTTGTCACTCTCCTGCTTGAAATAATTCTCGTCCACTTCCAGAACAGGCTTGTCGTCGCCAGAGAGGTAGAACTTGGAGCCAGCTGCTGCCGTCGTCGCCGCTGCTCCCGCTGCGGACATGGGCATGCGCGGCAGCGAGCGGAAACCGTCCGCCTTGCTGCCGGACGGTGGCAGGTCACCGCTGGACGAGCGACGCTGCTCCAGGGTGACGTGCGCCGTGCGCGGTCGCATCTCCTTGCGACTGGCCAGCACACGCGTCACCAGCGGGCTGCCACTGTCCGGCCTGCGGTGGTGGCGGTGGCAAAGAAATCGAATGACACACAACAGCATAAGCAAACGTGCACACACACACGCACGCGCGCGCGCGCGCGCACACACACACACACACACACACGCACGCACACACACACACACATCAGGATCGAACTTACAGGTGCAAAGTATCCATACCATCTGCAATTCTAGAATGATGTTGATACTCCAATGCCGACTATACAGAAGCATAATGTATAAGGATGCTGCATTGAAGTTTTCACATGGTTCTACTCCAGTACTATGCCAAGCTCCATCCGAAGGCATGCACTTGCACTGTACGCATGCTGCATGCCAATCCCTACCCATAGCACTCTTTCCCTTACTCTGGGAGATACTGTAATTTCACAAATGTTCGGTGTACTTTTCGGTACTTTCGGTGCATCTGTTTCACACCTAAAATTTCAATACACCGAACAAACACTAACACACATAATCCAATAGGGAACTGTTCTCTGTACCGAAAATGTCTGTTCACCTAACCTAGCCTGTTGCCCTCATACCGAAAATATTGAGCACCGAAAATTTCTGAAATTAGAGTAGTCGCTGTGCGGAAAAGACTGGCAGGGGACAGCAAAAGCCTACCCTCGTCATGTCCTAGCCGCCACTACTGCCGAAGCTATCAAAACCAAAATGCACTAACTTTGAATTCTTCCATTCATTTTTCCGGACAATCATGGATCTTCCAATAAAGTGTTTTGAGCATCAAAATCACCAAGTGTCGCCTTTCATGTCGGATACTAGCATGCTGCGTACTAGTACTTCATTTCACTTTGCAAGTACGTGAAGGCAAATTAGTTTACCACCCTGCGTGACTTAGTAGGGTGATGCTGAGCTCAATCACTACTACGACAGCATAGCATGGCAGCAGGTCACGCTAGGCTTACTTTTTGGCTAGGTCCAGGTCTGGCGTGTAGTGCGCGTAGTCCGCCGCCGTCGTCTGATGGTGCGTGTGGTCCGTTTCATCGGGACACTGGAAAGGATATCGGCAAGCAAACACACGCGCATGCATGCACGCACACACGCATGCACGCACACACAGTGAAAATGATGACAAATGAACACCAGCAAAATCTTGTGCATCTGAAACGACCTCAGGCAAATTGCCTCAATATGGATGAAATGCGTCCATAAGGTCGCACATTCATGCCATCATATCTGATGTCATACCAATGCTATAGCCTATAGGTCTTGCGTCTGATATCGCCTGAATAACCTGGTTCGACTGCACAAGTGCGTCTGCTGCGAAACCTGCCAAAAGGGGAAGCTGTACATTTATTACGCACGTGTTCATGTAACAGTGTAGAGTCAACCTCGCAAATAGCAACCTCGGACATAACAACAACGTGCGAATAACGACACAATCTTCAGACGAAGTAACCACTCGACTGCATACGCTCAACCTCGCAAATAAGGACAACCCGCCAAATAAGGACAACCCGCCAAATAAGGACAACCCGCCAAATAAGGACAACCCGCCAAATAAGGACAACCCGCCAAATAAGGACACATTGCTCATGCACAATCGAGGGTCGTTAATTCGCAAGGTCGACTAGGACTGTACTTTGCACAAACCTACGCGCCACGTCACGTCGACACAGTGGGTGCGTTCGATTTTGCCCACGGATCAATTTTGAATCCATTCATAAACTACCCCTGGCTATCCACATCACCCCATGTGAATAGGATGAATCGATTACGAACCGATTCCAGGGCTCATGACATGAAAATCGAACCACTTGAATGCACAAGGTTCCCTTCGTGAATCGATTCATAGGCGTAATCGAACGCGAACACAGTGCTCATTTCCGCAGCCACGGCACGCCACCAACCTGAGCGAAGACGCCGGTGAACAGCAGGCGGAAGTTGGTGAGAAACAGCACTCCGCTGGCTTCGGTGTTGTTGGAGCCGGCCAGCATGCACGAGTCCTCTCTCAGCAGAATGTCCTCACCGGGCAACAGCTTGATGTACTTCTTCTCCGGGGGAGTTGTTGTCGTTTCCATCTCGCCTACTATTGACAATCATGCGTGGCTGGTGGCAGTGGTAGCAACAATGACAGTGGTCACTGCAGGACTGTGCAGTAGTATCTAAAAGAGCAGAAACGAGAGACACAAACGAGTTATGTAGCTGACATGTCCTAATTCTAGTGCATACAATCTTCATGGGTGGGCTATTTATATGTCAGAGTTGCAGGATCCAGGGTTGCAGGTTCCAGGGTTGCAGGATCCAGGGTTGCAGGATGAAGGGGTGCAGGATCCACGGTTTCAGCAGGATGCTGGCACACAGCAATCTCTGTACACGCAGTCCAGCCAGCGCAGCACACGTGCATGCGTGACTGACACACATTTCGCACTTTGTCATTCATGCTCTAGTTAGCCCTAAAGCAAGGCCAGCTAACTGAGAAGTGCGAGGGCCAAAGCTTGACCAGCCTCATTGACCGCTATGCCTCAGTGAGAGGTGGACGACTCACCCCCTTCCCACCCCCAACAAAAAAAACAAAAAAACAAAAAACAAAAAAACTCGCACCTGGCACGCGTTTTAAAACAGCACTGGCCAACTGATCCAGCCAGGGTGCTACATAGATACACTTGCAAGGAAGCTCTGCCCCATTTGTGCATGGAGCAGTATGTGAGTCAGGGGCGTAGCACCCGCTACGACTGGTACGACCATGGTCGTACAACTTTTCGAAAAGTGTGGTCCGTCCGGAACGTGCAAAACCGTAATAAAAAAAATCAGGATCCATATCGATGCATATGCGCATCAGACTTTGACCTTTTTCTAGACTCGTACTCGTAAATCTGTTATGCATCTGCAGTCGTACTGAGCGCTGTTATGGTATGTACTTGACTCGACTGCACACTGCATGCGCCAGAAGTTCCCAGAACGCAGGATTTTGTGTCTTTTTTTTACAAAATTTTCCCGGGGGACGTCCCCCCGACCCCCCTCCAACACGGCCTTCGGCCGCACCCACCCTCGGTCGGACCACTTCCAAAACCCTTCCTACGCCCCTGTGAGTAGAGGACACTAACCTCACCGTGTAGACATACCATTGACAGATACAGTGGAACCTCGTTTCCAACCACCTCGCTAAACCGACCACCTAATCAACCCGACCACTTTTGCCCGGTCCCGATTTTCGTCCATACAGTATGGTCGTTTGACTCATTTTCAGAAAGCAGACCACGTTTGCCCGGTCCGAAAGGCGGTCGGAATTCCGAAGTTCCACTGTGCATGTAATCATATTGCCTCATTCACTATCAAAACGTGTTTGGTTGATTTAAGTGTGGCCTGGGTGCTACGCCCCTAACAACTCGCGTAGATGTAGGGAAAGGTGCGTACATGTTTGAGACAGTAAGTGGGATCAACAGTAGATGAGCTCCCAAGAGTGTGCACCTTTGCTTGTGGGGTCTCCGAAAACTCACGTCACGCATTCCAAGCACGTTTCATACTCTGTACAACGAAAACCAGCGTGCGCAGTCTGAATTTCTGCCTTGATCGTGCTGATAGACTCGCATAAGCTGAGTGGGTTTCCGTTGGGGAGTGCTATTTTTACTACTCCACTGCTCGCTAAAACTGGCTGGGAATGTACAACGTGAGCACTACTCCACGTGAAGTGAGTTTTCGTCGGCGGTGGACCCCATAAATACCAGAGTTGCATGCTCTTGGGAGATTATCATAAGCTCCCAAGAGTGTGCGCATGCAGTCATGGCAACCTGTTGAAGGCCTCGGTCAATGTAGCGATAGCAGTGTATTTTTCTCAAGAGAGCAAAAAGTTACATTGTGTTATTGATGCCGGACCATTGGATTTACCACACAAAGGCGCAAAACTGGACTTCAGGAACATAATGATTATTTTACTGATGTGTGGATGAAAATGTTTCCTGTACATGTAAAAGACGTATACAAACATGGTGCCGACTACATGCACAATCATGTACATGTAAAGGCTAAGCAAAAGTGACAGCAACCAGCTAGCGCTTCCCTGCCTACACCTACACAACTTGCTGTCGATAGCATTAATATTTATTGCATGTATACGAGTTATGCTTGTGTCGAGAGATAAAAATGGTTCACTAAACATTTCGATGGCTAGCTCTTTGACGAGGATGAACCACACGAGCCACCCTAGTCTAGAAGCAAAGAACAGGTGCGATGCAAATAGTGAAGCCGCTCCTTCTCGCCCACGTAAATCGCCAGGAACAAAAGACAAGTACTAGTAGTAGTACCCGGCGGGCCGGGGCGCATTTTTACATGATTCGTGAACAAGGGAAACTAAACACGAGAAGAGCTAGAGCTACGGCGGCCGTCCACCATGGTCCACTAGTCGACTACTACTACTAGTAGTCACTAGTGCACTCGCAAATATCCTATCTCCGTCCGGATTCGAACAGAATGCAAATAAAATTTAATGCTTACCAGAGCGCCCAACAGAAGACACGACACACCACAGCGACTGGCTGGAAAGCCGTCATCGAGGCCACCGTCTGTGCCAACCAACCAACACTCTAAGCTCAATCAACGAGATTTGCTGGCGTCCTTCCCCTACAGGTGACTAGATTTTTTCCGAAGACGCCATGCGCCAGATAATCAAAAAGACACAAAACCAGGCTGAGCATCGAGCAGGAGGGGCCATTGAGCTTCCTGGCTATGCAGCGCGTGCGGTAGCAGCTTCGCTATACGCGCTAGCCGCATCAACCATGTCAACACTGCACTGAGTCTGACGACAGCGAGCAAATCATGGCCACAATCATACATGTGACTTGATACATCATGAATTCATTATGATTGGCTTTGACTTCGGTGAAGTAAGTCTGCAAAATGCGCGACTATTTCTCGCGGCTCACGAGACATTCCACACACTGACACAGACAGTGTTGTAGTTGAGCCTGACAGACAGACACCCGTACTACAGTCGTCCCTCTCTAATCCGGCACCTTTTGCTACGGCGTTTTCTGCTGGATTAACGAGGGTGCTGGATTAAGAAATCCTGCCCTCTGACCCGGCCCTACCCAATTGCATGTATGTATCATATGTACGTCAAAACGCAGGGTTTTTTCGTGTCGACCCAAGTATTTGGTGCACGACTTTATATTCTCAATTGTTCTCCGGGAATATACACAGTGATAAAGTGATAAAGTAAAACAGAGAACATATTCACATGTACTCTTGCACACACACGCACACACACACACACACACCTGAAAATTGGCAGGACACTACTCCTTGCTAAAATAAGAAAGTATGGTTGACTGCCGTTGTCTCCTGGACAACATTGACCAGACTGGCCTAGCCTGGCCTGGCAAGGAGTGCACCTGTACGGTACGCGATTTACGACTGCCGGATTATGAAATCAAACTATGTGCAGTTTGAGCGATTCGTTTCAAAAAGTCACTGCCGGAGGCGGAATTCAAGTGCCGGATTAAGATGTAGGAATTGAACGAAAAAAATCGGTTTCGTCAGAAAGTGCGCCGGTTGGCAAGGGTTCCGGATAAACAAGTGCCGGATTAGAGAGGGACGACTGTATAACCTTTCCTACATTATAAATCAGTCATTATTTTCACTACTCCGGCCTAACCACCCAGATGGAGTGAAGTGAACGCTGAAAAAAGTGTGCATGGTACATGTACATGTGATCATCATGTCAGGTGATTGCATGATGCAAGCTCGTGTACCACGTGTACAGCCAACTCCTGTTATAACGAACACCAGTATGCAGGAGAATTAGTTCTTTATAACCGAAATGCACTCACACCATGCAACCAACACGTCATGACTGGCATGTGGGCCTATGAATATGTATGATTGCATTTTAGTTTTACTAGTAGAATGGACGGTTTCAAATAGGACACAGGTTGCAAACCGGAACGGACTCAATATTCACTTTCTCTCTTGGTATTTTGATTAGAAAACATATGTCACAGTGAGACTACGATGTGTTATACTCCGAGCCAAAATTTCATGGCTCTGCGATGACCAGAAGCGCCATATCAAGCAGGTGAGTTTTTGACGTGTTGCTTCGCACTGCGACTTGAGTTTTACGACTTTCGAAAAATCAACTTCTTGTCGCAGGTAAACAGCGGCTCGCCTCTCGCCAATAAAGCACCGCATACCAATCAAAACTAATGGAAGCACACACAAGACTTATTGTTACTCTGTACTGGCCGTCGTGGAGCGATAGCAATTACCTAATTTCAGACCCAGAGTGAATTCGACGTGCACTCTAAAACGTGTCCGGTTTGGAGCCACCTCTGATTTGAACTTTTTTGAAGCGAAAAATTGGGCAACTTGGAGGCAATGGGTCAACACAAAGGAGTGGCTCAGTTCGATTGACTCTGGCACCAGAGCAAACTTCAACATGCCAGTTTCCTTCCACAAACATATTTCGAGTGAAAAATCAACGCTGATGATCGGTTTGGGTCTATACAAATTTGGCTGTCAAAGCGTCCCGGTATCGAGCCGTCCCCTCTACTGTACATGCGGCCCTACAAGATAATGGTTTGTAATAATAAACGAAAAGTCGAAAACTGTTCGCTATGAAGCCGGGTCAATTTTGTATGGGGTCAAACAGGGACTTGGACACTGGTTCGCTATGTCACGAAATTCGCTAAGTGGAGCCGACTGTATCTCTTCTCATTCGGTTTCCGTGCCGATCGCCTTACTTGTGACACGGGGCTTTCAGATGCAGTCAAGCTGTTGACGGAGATTACCTCGATTTAGGCTAAGGCCTGTGGAGAATCCATAAATACATGCCCGGCATGCAATGTAGTGGCATGGTCCATGTCCTTCAGGACAGGCGGAAGCAGTTTTTGATTGGTCTGGCCCAGGGAGTCGTAAAATACCGGTATTTTACGACTCCCTGGTCCGGCCATACCCTAGCCTTTCATACTTTGGGTATGACTTGAAAAGTACACACATGACCTCAGCAGTAAACCGTGACACGTCGGTGGCCAAAACGTTGGTCCGGCTATAGCCTGAGCAACCAGGCCGGTTCCGCCGGGCCCGTCCACGGTCTCCAGTCAGTGTTGCTCAGATGACAAAGGCAAGGAGGTTACAGTCCTTGTAGAGTCTCCTAGATAGCCCCAGGCAACAAATTATTTCTGGGGCCCAATGATCATGCATGAGTCGTTTGTAACTCGAACCTTCACCACAGAAGAACTTATTCCACAAAATCGTTTTTTATAGAAACAAAACTCAGGACTCAGGACCCTGCTGGATTCTGGCCGGAGAGAACATGCTGTCAAAAAAAAAACAGCCAGTGCCTGTTTTGAAAGATTTGCTTTGTTTGGAGCTTCTTTGTCAGTTTTTGGTTGTTGCTCAATACTCCCATTGATTCAATGGAGGGGGGGGGGGGACACAATGCAAGTCTAAAAATACAGCTGAGCATCCACATAACATGGAGATAAGATAGGCCCTGGCGGATAATGCCGGTAGAATTTCGAGCAGAATATAGGTTATTTTAGAAAAGGAGCAGAATGAGTAGAAAAGTGCAGAAGAAGGAGCAGATACTCTGCAGAACCAGCTACGAAGTGCGGAGAGGGCTGCTGGTGCCTATTTACGGCTCCATAATATTGTGTTCACAAGCACGTGAACTCACTGGTACATGGTCCCTTTTTGATACCTTATGGCCGCATTTGATTAATTTCGCGTCGTCCACTTCGCGAAAGGGATCTTACTTCACTAGTCTCCAGAAAGTCTTGCCGGAAAAGAGCGAGACCATACGCCAGCGTGCTGTGCGCACACGGATATTATCAAACTGCATGCTCTATGTTGCCCTCTGCACGTGCGCTTTGCTACAAGTGCGAACCAGAGAGTAGTAAAATACCGGTATTTATTAACTACTCCCTGGTGCGAAATCCGGCAGAATACGAGCAGAATGGGGCAGAATACCGGCAGAATATGAGCAGAATGTCGAGCAGCAAACCTTAGGGGTCGTCGCAAAAGTTTTTTTGTCGTCCCTGAAACGAACATGATTCATTTGGGGGGGGGGGGGGGAGGGGGTGCGAGCCAAAATCGCAAGTCCACCGTCGACACTGTACATATGACATGTACATGCATGCGATTTTCGTCGTCCAGCATAGCAAGCTGTGTTCGTTTCAGAGGGAGGGGAGGGGATCCAAGTACGAAATGAACGATGTTCGTTTCAGGGACGACAGAAAACTTTTGCGACGACCCCTTACTTTTCCAAGCATTATCCACCAAGGCCTAAGATAAGATTATAACGCAGCTAACGTTATTGCCCTGTCTTATTCAATCTCCGTACAGATAGCGGTCTTGACCTTGTTAGGCCTCATCAGTTGAGCTCAGAGTGACCCGGCGGTCGGACCGACCCGTGACAATGACTCAGAGTCTTGTGAATAACAAAGCATCTTCTCTTAGCTTACTGTAAAGCGTGAAATTTTCGCGGCGTTTTTAGTTCGCGTTTTCAGAATCCGGACAGGTTTGCGAGGTTTTAATTTTGCGATTGCAGAATGGCATTCCTGCTAAACCTGTGGCATTCTTGCTAAACCTTTTTCACGGATCTCCTTTTCGCGCTGTCTAAATTTCGCGATTTCCACGCGGTCGCGAATTCCGCAGAAATTAGACCATCGCAATAAAAATCACGGTTTTACACAGTATACAGATGTACATCATGTACTTTAAAAAGTAATAGTATTCTTGTCCTGTCTCCATGCCTGGAGTAGCTGGGGCCTTCTTGCGGACATATGTAGACATGTACATGTAACGTGGCACTTCAAATAATTCATCAAAAGGAGGATTATCTTTGTTACATTGGGCGCTTTCGATTACACGTTTACACAATTCTGGAACTGGTTTTTTTTAAATTCTGGAATGACCAGAATGAGCGTATTCCGGCCTTGTAAACGAACGACTGGAATTCGCAACGCATTTTATTCATGTCATGTCACAAACGAAATTGATGAATCGCAAATAGAGATCACGTACACCCTCGCGATCGATCGCGCGCACGTGGACCTAGCATCGCGCACACGCCGGCCAGGGAGGCTCTTCGCGCGCTTGAGTCATGACGAAACCGGTAACACACCGACAGTGCAATTCTGTCGCCAGAATTAGAGAAATTCCGCCTTCTCTTCAGAATTGATGGATTCGACGGAATTGGATAAAATCAATTCTAACGACGGAATTTGTCACTTTTTGTGTAATCGAACTGTGCATTAACAATAACTAATTCTAGAATTGACTGAAATGCGTGTAATCGAAAGCGCCCATTGTAGCTGACTTTTGAACTTCATCAATGCCAAATACACTGTCGGCTGCAGGCCTCTCCCGAAATTTGTTAGCCAATTTTCGATACGTACATGTATGTGTGCGCAATATTTTTCGCTTGCGGTTTTTCGATATCTCTTGCTTTTATTTTGCCGATTTGCTTGATTTTTGCTGAGCGTGATGATAGCAGTGTGGCTTCCCCGACCGTGGACTCTCGTCTGACGTCGGTGAATAGTATGCAGAAGAAGTGCTGGAAGGTTCTAGTAACAGTCACGGCCAAGAAGGCTGCAACCAGTACAGCTGATTTTCTAGCACTGGGTCTACACTCTGCACGGATGTTTCGATAAAGAATTGCCAGCAAATTTGGTAGAACCCTTTTCTAATAATAAGCATATATGACTCAGTTGCCATGCATCTGGCTCTCAAGCCAAATATAGAAAAGTCGCACACAGCGAGAATAGTTCATTTCTAGTCTACTCTAGGCCGCGAGGATCTAAC